TTTCGTGGCTAAGTTCCAGGCCACCTGCTCAGGCTGCTAGGGGCAAGGTATTTAAAGCTTCTAGTCCTGATCCTCCAAACGTAGACTCTGTATTCCTAGTTGTCATTGACATGATTATACGAGTTGTGGTTCCCAAAACAAAGAAAGGCAAAACTGAAGAACTGCTGGCGCTGGAAAACATGGAAGTTGACACTACTAAATTACTTAAGGTCAATGTGTTTGAGAATGATAAAGATAATAATATGGATCACCTGGGCAAGGCTTCTTATGTAGGTACCCATGCACTGGTGCCACCTAAATCTAAAAATAGGATCATTAGGTCTTCGATTAGGTTGAATCTGATTGATATATAAGAGGACATGGAAGTTGAGGACGATGATACAATTCTGGTGACACTTATGCCAAGGCATCAAGGCACCGGTATCAAGATCATTGAAGCTCCTCCATGTAAATCAAGTTGAAATTTGCCATCCAATTTTTATGGTCTACATTACACCAAGAAATCGAAGAACCAACAAGAATGCACTGATTTTTAATTTAGATTTACAGACTCAAAACATTAACTAGCATCAAAGTATCAATCGTTTTGGACTCAAAATCATTGTACCATTTTGTTCAAAATAAAAATGTCAAACCCCAATTCTCAAAGAATGAATCGCAACTACTTCAATGGGCCAAAATTATACCAGACAGATGTCAACCATTTCCTTCACTCTAAGAATCACTTAGATTCAATATTCACAAAGAATCACATCGAAATCAAATGTTTTGAGATAACACGATGAAGACTCAGAGAGAATCCAGAGAGTTCTACACAAGACGCGAATCAAAATCATCCGTAGGGAAACCACTCAAGACCCTTTTATATTCATTCCCATCACCGTTGATATATCAGTGGTTTAGAGCAGCACACGTGTCTTCTTATTTTTGGCTCGGGTTATGGGCTACATCATTCTGTGCTACCAGACAATGGCAAATCAAAAGTTTGGGTCAAGCCCAGGTTTCATCATCCCCCTAATGGACTGGATCAATTTGGCATGACAATCCAACAGTTTATGTTTTCTTTATCATTTATTAAAAATAAGATTTTCATTGCATCCTATATGCAACGGAAATTGTCCAAGTTTAGGTTGTAAATTTCCATTTGTAATCTAATTTGCTTCTTTATTTCTTCAGTTTCCATCTGCGATTTGCACTAGCACCATTGCATGGGCAGTGTCTTTTTACTTTGATTTTTAATGAAATAAACTATTATCAGATTTATCGACTAGTAAGAAATCGAAAATAAACATGTACATCGAACTTAACTAGTTTCTAAATGATTAAAGCAATGCAATTCTTGAGTTTTAAATCACAATTGTCATTTAGGCTGATGCCATGGAACGAATTGTAGTTTGCCCAAAACAGAAATAAGGAAACATAATTTTTTTCCTTGGACTAACCCAATGAGGGGCCAATTAATAATTGTAAGCAACATCCACAAATTGTGTGAAAAGTCTTTGACACATACCTTGTCCGCGTATATCGTATGAGAATCATACAAGCGCAGCCAATATTTCCGACCTTTGATTTAATATTGTAGCAAGACCAATTTACAAGGGTACTCTAGGCTAGAAATTTAAAAAGAATAAACCAAAAATGAAGAAGATGGATCTAGAGAAGTCGGAGAGAAACAAAACCACCTATCAATATGAGAAAACCAAGGGCCATATCTAACCAAGCAATAAATATCAACCCTTAATCAAATCCATCATTTCGTAATTAAATTACCACGATATTGCTAAATGCCAAGTTACCAATCGGAGGTTGTCATGTGAGCTGTTATATCCATAAATTACGTGATATGCTAAGACGGTTGTGGTCTCATATATGTAAACGTGTGTTAACTGAATTAACTACCTAGCCACCTTGCATCATCATCATCATCATCACATCAGCTGAGAAGCAGCCAACTCATCTATGAGCTGGAGCATTGCATTAGCAGCTCATCCTCTTGTTGCATTGATACAAATACAACTATAATGCTAGCACTCAATCTGTAGTAAAATATTCTAGACAAGATCCACCATTTTAGGAACCAACCAACACGTGTTCATTCTAGCTCATTATATACNATTCTAGACAAGATCCACCATTTTAGGAACCAACCAACACGTGTTCATTCTAGATCATTATTTACACATCTCATTGTATATATTACCTTTACGTTTTGATCAATTAATTATTGAGGCAGATTGTGAATTTCATCTTCACTTTAAACTTCAACTCGGTATCAGAGCAAGAAATGGCAAATGCCAGTAACACTCCTCAGATTGCCAATCCTATTCCTACACCTGCCTCAATTTCCAGTAGCACTGGTACCCCACAATTAGGAAGCAACAACACCTCTCCTTTTAGTGTGAATCTCACTCAAATTGTTTCAGTCAAGTTGGACACGAACAACTTCTTGCTATTGAAAAACATGGTACTACCAATCATACGAGGTCACAACCTTGAGGGTTACATTCTAGGGACAAAGCTGTGTCCTCAGGAATTTATTGGGAGTCAAGTAAATGGTGAAGCAGGTGCCACCAATGAGATGATAAAAAACCCAGAGTATAGCCAATGGATGACAACCGATCAGTTGCTTATGGTTGGCTATATACCTCAATGACTCCAGACATTGCAATGAGAGTTATGGGTGCTACAAACTCAAGAGAGCTTTGGACAACCATTGAAGAAAGCTATAGAGTGCAAAGGTACAATGAATATTGATCAAAATCGGTCTAGAGTTATTTTTCATGGGTCACACATCTTTTCAACCACACATTTCAAAAATTTCTATCACAATCTATTAAAAATCTAATTTTAATCCTCATCAAACACCCTCTCAATAAAAGTCGCATGGAAAAGTGAGGAAAAAAAA